ATCAGAAAGTTCAAATTTACGCAACTCAGCCTAAATATATTCGAACAGACTGTGAAGGCATTTCAAATTTCTTATACATTCTTTCACCACGACTACAATTTTAAAAATGAGGGACAATTAATTTTTAGCCTCCCACCCGGACGTTCTTAATTTTGGTATTCACGCAACGGGGAAGAAACGCATGACGAAACCTAGCGTGTTCCAGGCGTTCAGATCGTGGGCACAACGCAAAGAGATGGGTAGACTAGGACTGAATGGTGAATTTTGGCGCAGCATGACAAATTGTCACGCAAGCCGGCAGACCAATTTACGGCCGGGGGTCTTGATTTAAAAGAAAGAAAAAAAATCGAGAGACACTTTATTTTGTATTTCTTTCAGTTTTTATCAGTATGTATACGCAGTTAATCCAACCCAGATTGAATCTAGAGATCAAAACATCTTCACGTCAAAATCTGGGATCAGTCGGGGAAAAAATATTCCTCGTTATACGACCATGCGATTTAATACCACAGCACGTAATTCATTTGAACTATATCATGTCAAAATAAGTCGAAAATATAGTAGTAAGTCTACTTATTATTATGCAAGGTTTGGAAATATTTCCGTTTTGACGCATACAATTTCACACAAATACCGTGAAATTCCGAAAATAAGTCCCTCCATGAATAAGTCCCTCCAAATATAAGCCCCCCACACTCGCAACGCAAAAAGCCCTCCGTTATAAGCCCCCGGGGGGCCTTTCCTTGGATAGTGCCCTCAAATACAAAGTAAAACATAGCAAAAACGATAAATTTCCTTCCAACTGTACGGCTAGCCCAATCTATTTTGAAACGCAAATTTCCCCCCGTAGATAAGCCCCGCCGAATGTAAGCCCCTCCAAAAATAAGCCCCTCAAAAGGGGCCTTTGAAAAATATAAGCCCCGGGGCTTATTTTCGGAATTTTACGGTTGTTAACATCAATAGTCTATTTTAAAAAACATGCATGCATGATAAACGTATATGGGGCTAAGCAAAAATTTGGCTTCATGAACCATGTGCGATCTCGGAGAACCACGATCGCTAAAACAAGTCCTGTCATCTGAACGATAGTGGCGATCGTAGCCTTGTGAACATTTACGGAGTTCTTAAGAGTAACTTTAGTCAATTTTAATTGTCTAGATTTAACATGTCAATATATGCCTACCTTTTTGAAACGATGATCTTGATACTTGTCTGATTTGCAACAATTCCCCGAATAATTCCCTTGATTTCACACGACTTCAGGGTCTCCAGTGAAATCACATTTAAGTTTTACACATGGTTTACGATGAAAAAGCGCAGTGCGCTAGCTTGAAACACATCAGAGGCACCCAACGAGAATATAGTTCAAAACCACTTAAACATAGCATTGTTGAACGTATTTTAGTATTTAAATGGTAGATATAGGCCTATTTTTATCCCCTAAAAATTTTTCATCTGTTCGGTTCCGCATTTTCTACTGTCCTTAGTCCTTTAGTGTAACCCCAGGTACAGGTCGCCCCATGTAAGGAAATCCGGATTCCGCCGGGAATCCGAGAAGTTTTGCTCATGAAATCCGGAAACCGGAGAAATTTTGCCTGTGGAATCCAGAATCATGGGCTATGGAATCTGGCATTTCACTAACAACTGGAGTCCGAAATCCAACTTCTACCATCAGAGACTGGAATTCAGTGCCTGGAATTCGGAAACCATGGCGTGGAATCTGAATGCAAGACATTCTTGGATTCCCTAACAATTGAGTGGAGTATGCGCGTATAACAAGGGAAATATTTTCGGCACTTTAATTGCTGGCGATATCTCCTAGAAAACTAACGTTCTCTTCTCATAGAGTATTTTCTCTTCTTACTTTCACCCTCTCATCTTTCTCCAGCTCCGTCATGAGGTTTCCAATTTCGATGTTCACTTGTCGCAATGTTGATTGTATGGGTTATATACCGTCAATAATCCAATGGACGCCTGCGTGGGGCTTATTTAACTTTGAGGGTTTAAGAGGGTCGTTTAATAGATGGGAAGCAGTTAAAAGATAGAGACGTTTATTCTTACAAGTGTAACCAGCTCAACAAAACTAATATACTTTCGTCGAAAATATCAAGAGCGTTAAAAATTGCGGGATATCCAGACCATATTTTTGATACATCTAGGCCTTCTGTTTCAAATCTTAACATCGGTGTAAGAATCTACAACTACATTTATTAAGCTGCATGGTGAAATCTTTTACAGACATCTCACCAACTATTAAAAGAAACGATCATAAAATATACATAATGCTTGGATAAAATAATAAATAATACTCGGATAGATAATACATGTAAAAAGTAAAAAGTATGAAAGTATAAACGTCTAGTATTCTTAGCTAGGTAGGGGAGTAATTTAGAGTTAAAAGCTGTCAAAGACAGCCAAGGAGTTTGATTCCACTATTTCCGCGAGTAGTCTTATGGTCCTTGAGAAGAAGGAATAAAAATAAAGTAATGTTCTCTTTGTCGCCTTATCTTGCCTATATCTATAACGATGACTCCCTCGAGTTCTAACTACAGAACTCTTCCTCGCTCAGGTTCATTTTATGTCCTCGTTAGTCTTTCGTTTCCTTGCTTGAACATAACATTGAGCAAGATACAACGTGCTAACCCTTATTAATTAGCAAGAAATTGAGTAAATTTTAATGATTTTGCGCCTTTTTACCAGTTCCTGGTATTGTGGAGTAATTGTCAGGGGGAGGGGGCGTCTTTTAGACAGGGGGTGTATATCTTTGCATATGTTTTAGAGCACTTTTTCCCGCGAAAATGTAAGATCTGCTCTGTCGATGAGCGTATTGAAAAGTGTAAGCGGTAGGGGGAAAATGAAAACTAACCTTCGTTTTATGGCCAAAAGGAGGATTTTCTGGCCTGTACTGAGGTTTTGCTGACTGGTTTGTGAGACTTAAAGATTTAAACATTCGCGGTTCTGGTCTGTGAAATCGCTGTGACAGGAGCACATCGACGTTGGAGACATATAGAGGAAGTCGCAGATCAACTTTTTCTAGGGAAGATTCCACACAGCAGTCTATAACCCCGTTCCGGAGCCTGCAATGAACACCGGAACGGATATCGTTAGTATTGACGTGGTTTGGAGTAAAGTCTTGCAGGTCTACGTGCGATGTCATTTGCGGGGAGGGGCTCTAACCTTGTTACTTGGCGTCGCCAATGAAGGGAATCCGGATTTCGGAATCCGAGAAGTTTTTCTCGTGGAATCCGGAATCTGGGAAAATTTTGCCTGTGGAATCAAGAATCATTGGCTTTGGAATCTGGAATGTCACTAACGATTGGAGTCCGGAATCCAAGTTCCTTTATGAGAGACTGGAATTCGGTGCCTTGAATCCGGAAACCATGGAATGGAATCTGGAATCCGAGACAATCTTGGATTTACTTCCATTTGAGTGAAGTACGCGCATAATAAGAGAAATATTTTTCGGCACTTCAATTGCTGGCTTCAATTTCCCCTTGAAAACTAACGTTCTCTCCTGGTCACAGAATATTTGTTCTTCTCACTTCCACCCTCTTTCTCCAACTCCATCATGAGATCAGTTGCCAATTCCATGCTACTTGTCGCAATGTTGATTGTATGCGTTATATACCGTAAATAATCCAATGGACGCCCGCGGAGGTTTTTTTTTTTAGTTTTTCTGAGGGTTCAAGAGGGCGGGACGTTTAATAGATGGAAAGCAGTCAACAGACAGAGGCGTTTATTCTTACAAGTATATCCAACTCAGCAAAACCAATATACTTTTGTCGAAAATATCAAGAGCGTTTAAAAATTGTGGAATATCCAGTCCATATTTTTTATACATCTAGGCAGCTCTGATCTAGGGCGTCTGTTTCAAATCTCAACATCGGTGTCAGAATCCTCGCTCAAGATCATTTTTTGTCCTCATTAGTCTAACCCATATTAATTAGCAAGAAACTGAGTTATTTTTAATGATTTTGCGCCTTTTTACCAATCCTAGTGTTTTGGAGTAGTTTTCAGAGTTGGGGGGGGGAGGGGGGGGGCGTCTTGTAGACCGGGGCGTCTAATGGGTATTAAAATAATAAGAGGCGTTCGAAAGGGAAGGTAAAAGAGATTTCGCCCCAAAATTTCCTTCTCCTTACCTTTGTAAAGTTTGCCAGGCAGGTTAGCAGTGACTGGGAAAATAGTGATGTTGTTATTAAGGAAACCCCCAAGTATTTGCAGCGATAAATGAATGTAGAAAGCTAAACCAATGAAACAACAAATCTATGCTAGCAACTTTGTATTTTCAAAAGAGCCTGGCCTTCCGAAGTATTATTGGTAACAAAAATATATATCCCCGACTGTAAAATCACGCTTTTTTTGCTCGATATTTTAATTTATAGCTTATTAGATCCTTTATATATTAGGATCCGGTCCTGCTATTTTGTAACGTTGGTCCTTGCTTCCAAAATTGAATTTATGCTTCAAGAAGTGCTTCTTTTCGGAAAGGAGGAGAAGCTTATGTTCGGAATGACCAAAATTATGGTAGCGCCTGCCCGCCGATCCTCCTCCATTAGCCTGAGTATCAGGCGTTTCTGGGGAAAAGGGGAAAGATGGATCTAAAATCTCCTCTCCCCCAGCCCCTTAGGAAGGCCTGATACTCAGTAACCTGAGATCAGGCTCTATTTTCGTTTCGCTTTGAAAATTACATTCCGGCAGGCAAGACGAAACGATAGCCGTTAACGATAGCCGTTAGAGAGAATGTATGAGAACCACTCAAATTGGGCCTGATCTCAGGTTAGATACTCAGGTACTCCTCCATAAACTTCTAAACAGTCTTCCATTTAAACTCGTCAGGCAGGGGGTGGTGGAGCGGCGTTCGGTGCCTCGGCCTCAAAGCGAGGCGGAATTTTTTGAGCAGGCGCTCTAGAACCGTAGTTGCTTCCTTGCTCGGTTGATCCCTTTAGAAGAAGGAGTTGAAACATCCCGGCTTCGGTTTTCTTCTGTCAAAGGCCTTGATAATGGATGAGGAATATGACTGTATCGTTCTGGGAACAGGACTAAAGGTTAGCTTCTTTATTGAAGTCTGAAAAAATCCCGGTTGTTTGTGGTGTGGTTCTATCAATATGAGTTAGATCGAGTAGTAATTCACACACCCTTTCATTTAAACGACATTTACATGGGCATGACCCTCGTGATTTTTGAATTCAAAATTAAACTTTATTAACTTAATAGTAATCTATGCTAAAACGAGTACGTGCAGAGTTTATACCCGAGTCAATTTATTAGATTCCCCTGGTTTTAAGAGCAACATTTTAGTGTTCTTACAAATGATCATAATATGGGGACTGTGTCTTTTAAAAAAAGCCAGACATCCCATGTTTCTTTTGCTTAATACTTTGCCTACATTCATGCAACTTTCGAATCGAAAGCGAGTTGTACCTAAGCGATACACTTTCAGTATTTCGAAACTGTTATTAAAGCTCAATTTCCGTGCAATGTTCATTATTAAACGCAAAGATTTGTGGTCGATTGGACAGTAAAATGCAATTTTAGTACTTTCCATTTCCATTCAAGTGGATAAACCGAAACCTAAATTGCTCAGTACTGTACACATGTGGGCCTGTGTAAAGTTCCTTCTATATTTAAAGGTTTTTTTTCATTCTGATGCAAATACTTTGTGAGTAGAGCAATATGTTGATTGTGATTCTAGTAATATAATACTCGATTTGAAAGTACATGTACTGACTGTTGTTTCACAACGCTTCAAAACCATTTTATATTATAAACCTCTTAGTAGATGAGTTTGAGGTCCATACTGTAAATTACGAAACACACTTTTTACGTGGGTCATAAATCAATGGGAAAAAAACAGGATCCGTAGTTTACAGCATGGACCGTGAAGGCAAGGCTAGTAAGATGTTTATTATATGGCTTTCTGTTTTGGGGAACCAAAAACAAGTGCATGTCAAGTCAATTAATGGTCATTTGACAGGCATCACAAAAAAACAGATTTTATTGGCTCACAAAGACAATAGCACTTTACAAAAGCTATCCATTGAAAGTGAAATCATAATGCAAATGCGCCAAGTCGAAAGTCAGTCAAAACTAAGAACACTGTAAAGCTTAAGTTCGCTTGGTTCTTTTGAAAACTGGATACCGTGTCTGGCTCGAAATCTCTTCCATCTTTCTTTTGTTGGTACTTAAAAAAACACTGCATATCACAGAAGCCTGTCGAGATGATCAGGTGCAGGTATGTTTGTTAATTTCATTGTCAAAGGAATTTCTTGTGTTTCTTTCGGAAAAGGTGTTGATCTCTGCAAGTCCATTCTTGTCTTCTTAACTGTGACCTACACAGTTTACAATAAAATTTTCAATCATGGACTAGAATCCTCTTCTTAACTAAGATAACAATTCAGCTTCTTCATCAGCTTCATTCTCAAATAAACACAGGTTAAAATTTGGAAGGATGAAGTCAACATGCAAGTTCTTAGGGTTCACAGACATATGTCAGTGCTGGAAATAATTTTTCTTGCTTGTAAGGACATGTGTCCTTTCAAACCTTTACTTTGAAAGGACATACTCGAAAATTGGTCGGTCATTAATTAGCATACTGTATTTACTCAATTAAGCGCCGAGGCTTTTATTAATTTTTCAGGCCTCAAATGCGGTGCTTATTGGAGGGTGGCATCTATTTGAAAGTTGGATACAACAAATAATATTGTTTAGCCATGATACTGTTATTTGTGGTATTAAACTAACAGAATTAACATCTTTTGATTTTGATTATAACGGGGCCGTGGCACCGAGAGCCATGGCTCTTGGTGGCACTTATCACTTTTTGTCCCAAATGCGGCGCTTATTCAAGATGGGTGCTAATTCGAGTAAATATGGTCATGCTTTCAACCTTGTTTGCCTCAAATCTCTTGATAGTACATGGCAAGAAAACCTTAAACCCAAGCAATGATTTTGGGTAACCCCTTTCATGAACATGTTTTTCACATTGGCAACTGTTATTTTTTTAAAAGAAATAACCTTTCCTCCGAATTTCTCATGATTCTAGACATAATAAATCTCAAGCTTTGGAAAAGAAACAAAATAGTCTAAATATACAAGTACAACGCAAATGATTGCTTGCTGCCATCTGGCTGGCAAGTTCATTAAATTTTGCTTGAATGTGATTTTTATTCAGACAGAAGCGGGCTTAATCCATGGAAATGAAAAGTTGGTTTAGAACATTTCTTCATGCTTATTTGTATTTGTTACATTACATTGTTGAACGTGCTCATTAACAAATTCACCACTGGTTATTCTGGAGAAAAAGTGCCCAGGACACTGGTAGTTTTGAAAATGGCAATTCAGTTCAGAGAAAAAAAAAATGACATACACAATCTTCAAATGAACATTTGCGTGTAGTACTGACAAGCCTTATGTAATTAAAAGTTCATCATTACGGAACCAAAGCAGTGATATTTATTCATTGAAAATATTCCCAAAACCACCAATAATGCTGCACATGTCTTACCTGTATGACGTGAATTTGTCTTACATTGTAAAAGCATCCCTGTAGTATTGAATTAAAAGAATGTCTTGTTTTTTAATGGTTCACAGCCAACTTCAAAGGTAGGCAGTCATCGTTTGCACTATTGTGAAGATATTTTATTTCATCTCTCCCAATTCATGACTAAATTTACTTTTGAACAATGCCTTTCCTTCTGGTGTTGTTCAAACTGGCGAAGAAATCGCGCAGAAAGTTTTCTTGTTCGTCTTATAAGGCTTTCTTCATCTTTCATGTCGTTGAAACAGGCAGTCATTAGTTTCAAAGCATGTGCTTCAGTTGCATATAATTTATTAGATTTCTATAATTATGTGGAAAGTAGAGCCCAGTAATTCCTTAACAAAGAGAACTGCTTCATTTCGCCAGATAGGAAGACGAATACAATACGTGGATGTTTTCAAGTTTCCTCAAAATAGAGAGTCTTTCACTGGAATGCAATGTTTATCTTTTTATCATGGTGTTTTACGTTGTAATATTTTCGAAATCAACTCAGGGATGTTAACAAGCTTCAAAGACAAGAGCTAAGTCAATTAAGAGCTCGGATGTTATGTTCGATATGTTAGTCGCACATTTAGGACATTTTGATCGGACAATGTCCGATGTCCAACAGTAATTTCCAGCATTGTATGATAACTTTGTTTCAATCATTTTTAGAGTTAAAAACTAAGATTATTATATAAACACCAATGAAATACCAGGTGAGCTTTCGCATGAAAACTTGATATCTTCACATGTGAAAATAACGTGTTATCTTCACATGTGAAAATAATTTATCACCATTGCTATGGCTACATAATAAATCATGCCTTTCACACCAAAAAACTATTTAAGTGAAATGGTTTGGTATTTCATTGGTGTTTATATAATAAATATAACATTACATGTACATGGCCGCTTGGAGATACGAAATTTCTCCGCAAGTGTTGAAAAGTATTTCACGAGTGAGCGCAGTGAACGAGTGAAATCTTTTTTCACAATGAGAAGAGAAATTAATATTTTCGTATCTCCATGCAGCTATGTAATAATTTTATCCTCTATGTATTGTTCTGCCATCTTGTTTGGAAACATCTTGGAATATTGACTTGTTTCAAATTAATGTCACCAGAAAGAATAAAAAATATATGAAATACATGTATATTATTTAGCAGTTGGTCATTCAGTGAGTATTTTATATTTGAGGCTGATGCTGACAACCTCTTTTCTTCTTTACAGTGCAAGAATTATGCAGTGAACATGTCACTTTATTAAAAAAAGCATATAAATTTTATATGTTTGTTAGTGTTCTTAGTTCACCAAAATATTTTATCTTACCTTGCGTGAGCTAAACTTGTACTTTGTTTGCTATTTTTTTTGTCCTTTATGTCAATGTAACTTTTTATATGTCCCCTTGTCAAACTGATATTCAAAAATTTCTCAATTCAGTTTTAAGGTCCTGAGTTTTTCAACTCGCTAAGTTGTGAAATTCAAAACAGTGAAAGTGTTGGTTTGTTTGGAAAAGACTTAAAAAGTTCCTTCTTTCTTAGTCACATATACATTGTACTTTTTGTTGAGCTACATACTTTTCCTTCTCTTTTCTTTAATATTTATGAATAAACCATTTTTCATTAAGTACCCTTAATGCACATGGTGTACTATCCTATATTGTCAGGAAGCCTATAGTTCCTCAGCCCCCGGCTTCTACACTTTACAGCTGTATATACATGTAGCCTTCCTTGCCGATTAGTGTCTATCCTCTTCCATATTTTAAAATTTATTGTGTTTTTGTAAATTATAAAATACAGTTAATGGTAATGGTATAATAAATGAATGAATGAACCTTTTTCTATTTTATATTAAACTTTCAGGAATGTGTTCTCAGTGGGCTTATGTCTGTGAATGGAAAGAAAGTTCTTCACATGGACCGACAGAAGTACTATGGTGGGGAGAGTGCATCAATCACCCCCCTGAATGATGTATGTGCATCGTTTATTTTTTTTGACAAATTTTCACCTTGACAGGATGCTTTGTTTTGCCTTTTTTTGTGTCATGGAGGTTATTAAAATTGCAGCCCGGAAAGTTTTCCCCTCGTTGGTTTGTTTTGGATGGCTTGATAGTGTAAACCAGTATTGTTCAGAGTAATTTTTTATCTTATGTACAGTGTAGTAGGACGTCGATCAAGGTATTACATCACTGGATGATTGCACCAGCAAAAAACCCAGAAATTAGCTTCCTTTTTTTCAGTCAATTGACCTCATTGAAATAATTTTGGTGCTTACACTGTACATGTAGTGTTATTACAGTGTCCATGTAGTCATATAAAAAATGCTCATTTATTGTTCTTGTTTTGAATTTTAGTTCTTTACATTGTTTGGAAAGACACTAGATGATGAAAACAAGTATGGAAGGCCAAGAGACTGGAACGTTGATCTTATTCCCAAATTTTTAATGGCTGGAGGTAAGTTTATGTTTACGTACAGGGGTTTCAATAAGAATTGAAGTAGCCAGCAGATTTGAATAGATTAACGGACTGTATCAATTGTCCACATTTTCAAGGGGTGTCTCGGGGCATGCTCCCTCAAAAAAATTAATTTTTAAAATTATTGCAAAGCCCTAATAAGTGATTTCCAGCGTTTTGGGGACTAAACTGAGTATAGTAGAGTGAGTTTTCCGCTCAAGAAGATTTGGGTTTTAGTCAAATTTTGATTATTTTATTAGTCACACAATTAACTCCTGCAAGCAATGAACAAATGATAATTATACTAAGTTACGTACATTTCCGCGTGAACAAATTATAATTTTGTCCATGGCATTATTCAAACTAGTTGCTTCTTCTTTGGAGGAAAAAGGAGCCGACTTATCTGAGCAATGTAGGCAATGCATTTCGTCGGTCGTCGGTCCTTATTGAAACCCCTGTAGATAAGTCAGTAGAAGAGAGTCACACATCAGGTCAAATTTCTATAAAGCTCCACAGATGACAAAAACAGGGATTTTACAGCTTTTAAACTCATTGCTAATTTCAGTTGATGAGCTCGGGAACTGGTTCCTAATAGGTTAGCGAGGGAGGCAAAATGCGAAAAATAAGGCAAGGAGGTAACCAGGAAACCCTGGAAGTTGGAGCCACCCCTGCGAGCAGCCGCTAACTGGCACCATCACACTGAGAAAAACCTCAGTGGAAGAGATACTTACCATGTGAAGTACTTACCTGTGCACCCACACATGACAGCAGGGAGAGAGATGAGGGAGCAAGAATCTGCAAAGATTCGCCAACACAAAGCTTAAAGATGATCTGCAACGATCAGTGAGAGTAGCTTGCAAAATAATGCTAAAGGATAGCGGCCCTGAAAACCCGAAATCAGCTGCCCTGCACGTCACGCATGCTAATTCGGGGACACCGCTGGCAGCATTGGCTCGAGATTAACTTAGCCTAAATAAAAATGTAGCCACATAAAAAATCAGTAGATTTGATGCAAGCTGCCGCTAAAATACACTAGAAAATAAAGTCACAACAACTGTTTCATGTAGAAAGCACTGAGACAGTCCAGGGAATCCCAGAACTGGAGAGAGAGTTTACCAAAGGAGCTAGGGACCTTTCATACATATAATGAACGATTGCTGTTTAAAGGGTTAAGCAACAACAACAAAGTGAATTCGCGCTGTTTCAAGACACTTTTCATTGTTAAAGAAGTTGCCATTGTTCAAAATACCAACGAACCACTCACTATCTACAGTGGGTACACGTAGATAGTATGTTAGCCAATTAGATTGTAGAATCTGTGAAAGTTTGCTAGTTGGTTTCTAAGTTCAAGTTTATTCGCACTATTCAAGTTGGTACAGTATACAGTGTAAGATGACTTACAGAATCAGTTGGTTAACAAGTGATGAAAAGTAAATATAAAATGCAGGTTTGTTGATATGTGCACAGTGAGCAAACTAGCCGAAGCTTTCATGTTGGTCACAGGTAAACTTTCTCTCCAGTTCTGGGATTCCCTTGGCTGTTTTTCTACCGATAAAATTATTTACTGTTCTGTATGTTTTAAACAATCTTGGATCCCAGCTGTTTAGGTACACTAAATAGCAACTGTTTAAATAAATGTTTCTGATTTTAGGGGAACTTGTAAAGCTGCTCATTATCAGTGGAGTAACAAGGTACCTGGAATTCAAACAGATTGATGGAAGCTTTGTTTACAAGAAAGGCGGTAAAATTTACAAGGTCCCTGCGGATGAGAAAGAGGCCCTGGCCACTGGTCTGATGGGTATATTTGAGAAACGTCGATTCCGAAATATGTTGATTTTTATCAATGATTTTGAGCCCGACAACCCCAAAACATTTCAAGGTAAGAATGGCCTTGTTAAAGTATTATTCTTGTCTTGTTAGAATGGCAGACAGGGTTAAGAGTACAACGTACATGTACATGTTTGTATTGGCAGCTTCTGTCAGACTGAAGCTTCATTTTTTAAACAACTGGGAAAAAGGCCTCTAAACCCATTAAACAAAGTAACTTCATTATTATTGTAAGTACAGTCTAACCTCTCCTTACGGACACCTCTATAATATGGACACCTCTCTATTACGAACAGTTTGTTTGGTCCCAGAAATGCCAAAAATCATACATTCCCTACCTCTATAATATGGACACCTCTGTAAAGCTGACACTCGGTTCTGTCCCTTTGGTGTCTGTATTAAAGAGGTTTGACTGTACAGTTGAACCTCCCATAATCGACCACATAAAATGCAAAGAGTTGATCGCTTACAGGACATGGTCGCTTACGAGAGTCAAACTGTGGGAGGTCTTTTAGGATGTGAAGTCCGGATGCATCTACATGTACAGAGTACTTTCTGGAGAGAATGTATTGCATGTAATTGTTGGGTTGCAATTCAGTGCTCCAAGGTGCAACCATTTTGGTACCCTGCGAGCAGAGGCTACATTTTCGTGGTATGAGCTGGCGTGCGAAAAGTAGCCTCTGCTACTTTTCGCACGCCAGCTCATACCGCGAAAATGTAGCCTCTGCTTGCAGGGTACCATTATTTTTGGTCGCCATGGAGAGTAGAAAAAACTTTTGGCAACTAAAATTGCAGTGAAAGTCACCAATTTGGCGACCTGTGTTCAGCATTCATGTGCCAAGCTATTCCCAAGAAATTCCTGAGATTTTTCGAGATGCGTTTTTCTAGTAGTTAGTGTTTGTGGTCTTTTTAAGTTAAAGTGAGATAGACATTTGTATTAAATATCATTTATGCTCTGTTTTCTTTATAATTTGCCTATTGTCACCCTGGTTCTCTGGGTATTAAGCCTTCAGATGTCGTGTGCACCCATTTTGATTCTTTTGCCAAAAGGCAACTTTAAAAAAACTTTAGCTTGGAGCACTGCAATTATTTGTAAAGCAATGTTGTTTCTAAAAGTTATTCTTGCACTCTGAGTAGGGTAGTACACCAACAAAAAGATCAGACCATTGTATCAGGTGGTCACTCAGAAGAGGTTATCGTCTACAAGAGGTTAAAACTAAAAGGCTTTGACTAGGAAACTTTTGGCATTTTGGATAAGGGGTCGCTTATGGGAAGTGATCACCTCATGACAGGTGGTCGCACATGGAGGTTCGACCGTAGCTAATGTTAATGTTGCAGTTTTTGACAATAATATTATTGAACGAAGTTGAGCAAAATATCATGATTAATTGTCGCAAGCAGATCATATATTTGCCAAAGCTGAAGGCTGAGGCAAAGAATTAATCTGCGAGACACTGACACATCATGATATTTTGTGTTTGCCATTTTTACGCAAGAGTGATTGCAAGATGGAGAAAAGCCTGGTTTCATTTACACATGAGCAGAACATTATTTGCAGCCAAACACTTAAACCACAGTTGGACGACATTGCGCATGAGCAGACCATTATTTGTAGGCAGTTATTTGCAGGTCACGTGGTGGGCTCTCGGCCAATGAAATGGAAGAAAAATTTGCATCAAATTATAATTTTTATTCCAGTTAATTTTTGTTTTTCCATTGTTTTTGGGTATGGTACACTGTAATGTACACTGTATGCTTATGATTTGATACAAAGAAAAATAAAAAATTGACTGACATAAAAAATAAACTGCAACATTACTTCACAGGACATGTTATTTGATAAATAATTTTCATTGAATTGTATCTTCTGGACCATGCAGGGGTTGATCCTGAGAAGACAACAATGAGAGAAGTGTATCAGAAATTTGGTGTAGATGACAACACAGCAAGTTTCACAGGACATGCCTTGGCTCTGCATCTTGATGATAAGTAAGTTATGTTTGATCAGCATCCATTGAGGTTGAATATTTTTTTGAAGTTATCCAATGACAAGTTACTAGTTTTCAAATGATCGCAGGCTCAAGTTTATTGTTTTTAAAAATTCTTTTGAAAAATGTTGTGTTTATGTCAATATGGCCCTGCACTATTAAGATTTTGATTTCAAACTAACCTCAGACCTGAAGATTCAGCCAGTTATGTAAAAATGCAGGCAGGGAAGACCTTTTATTACCGTGGTCACACTTTAGTCAAGCTCTACAGGTGATAGGGTGCAAAGAAAGTCAATTTTACAGCTTACCATTCGGGCAAGCTGTAGCTAGCATGCACTAGCCAATAAGTCATTTCAACTAGCCCCAAAACCCTTTTTGATTAGCAGGATTGATCACAATCCTTCTGTAATTTGCATTTCCCCACAAAAACAGCACTTGCCCGTCAGGCAGGTTAAGAACTAGCCCAATAGCAAAATCCCCTAGGCCTGGGCTATCAGACAAAACCGTCGCAAAGTCTCTTGCTGACGGTGTTGTACACTGCTTGCGATTCTCGGCCTTTACATGAAGAGAATCAATTATGATTCAGCAACAGTCGGTTTTTATTGAACAAAGAAACGTTTCATTTCAGAATGATATTTCACTAAAAAGCATGAGTTTAGGAGTCTTGTCATGAGAAAAGTTTAAAAAAAAGCGAGACTCATGGCATCATGGAATCGTGAGCTTGGACCAGCTTGGCAGTCAAAGAGCAATTGCTGATCTTTTCGTCATGTTTATTGCCTGGACGAGTCAAAAAGCTTCAAAAGTTCATAAGCTTTTGTCTCAAAGTTGGCCATAGTGCTAATTTGAAACATTCAAAGTCCACATGAAGAAAACTTATTGTCCTGCGACTCCTGTAAAATGTACAAAATCAGCACATCATGGAATGGGAATGATCTACGAGAGTTGTCGCTTTGATATCAGGCGCTTTCGTGTGGAGCCGACAAATGGCGTCTACATCTGAGTGAAATTTGCAAATCACAGTGCCCACAATAACTTGTTCCTTACACTACGGGTAATCCACAAGTTAGCAGTGAACTACATTGGGAAGGTTATCTACTGAAAATGGTTCTGCAGTTGATTGTTGGATGGCACTTTGGAACTTAATTGTCTCCCTGTGACAAGATGTCATCCATTGTGTTCGTGAGCCTATTAAGTACCCATGTACTGTATGTAAATTTAGCCTCCGTAATAGTCACAAAGCCATTTTATGTAACATATGTCAGAACTGGACACATTTAAAGTGCACTCCTTTTACATGTGAGGAATACATAGCTTTATCTAATACTAACGAAGATTGTTCTGCTCAGTTTGTCTTGCCACTCTATTTCCATTTAACCATTTTGAAGATGATACTGATTTCTTCTTTGCACTGTTTGACTTTAATTTTGAAGGCAATTTTGATCCTGAACTTCTTAAGCAAAAAGTGTTGAATTCCTCTTTTGATGACCCTGAGACATCTCATCTGCTAATGAACTCTAACCTTGATCCTAACCCCAATTTTTTTACCGCAAATTCAGAATTACTTTTGAACTGTACATTTGTCTAACCTCTTCAGAATTTAACAAAATTCCCTTTTCTCCTGATGCATT